GGCTGGAGAGCTTCCCAAAGACAGCCAACCATGCCAAGCTGAGGCTGCTGCAGCTGCGGCTGCGATTGAAGAGCCTTTGAAAGTAAGCGGGGATGACAAAGACTTGACCGCTCCAGGTCGTGGCCCAGTTGACGAGGACGAATGCAAGCCTGCAGCTCTTGGGAAGCTGCCCTACATTTCTCCGGATGATCAATGCCCACCCAAGAAACGTGGGAGGCCTAAGAAGAACAAGGATGATGCCAAGCACGCTGAGAAAGAGCCAAAAGAAGAAAAGAACAAACAAGACAATCAAGCAAAGAAACGAAAGAAGGCCTCAAAGGTCGAGCCTGGAGATGAGAACAATGAGGAAGCGGAAGAGGTAGCATCAGGCAAAAAGACCAAGAGGATGCGTTGCAAAAACAATCAGGAGAGTGACATGAAGACAGGGGCAAAGAAGGCACCCAAGGAGAATGCTGAGAAGAGCAAGAAGAGGGAGAGACTTCCCAAAGACAAAGAAGAAGAGCCAGAGGACAAGCCCAAGAAGAAGCGTGGCAAGGCCAAGGACGAGACTGGCGCTTCAAAGGCGGACGAAGAGATGACCGAGGCGGTCAGCACTACTGGCAAGCCAAAGGCATCGGCCAAGCCTGCTGCCAAGGGAAAAGCAGCGCCAAAGGCAAAGGCGAAGGTGGCTCCTGCTTGCGAGAAGGGTGACATTGAGGATGAAGCGAAGAGAGCAAAGAAGGCTCTCATGTCGAGGAAAAGCTCTGCATACCACAAGGAACGCAAGCTACGTCTTAGCGAAGGATGGAGCGACGAAGAAGCAAAGAAGGCAGCCTCTGCAGTCCTTTGGTTGAAAAAAGCGATTCACTTTGCAACCGTTTATTCGCTCATGACTGAGGTGTATGCTTCCACTACCTGATCATGATGGCCTTCGGGGAATGATTCACGATGAAGCTGATAGGACAGTGCTGGGAGTTGCGCTCATGAGTTGGTGCGTACATATGCAATTCATTTGCCTGGGAAGCCTTAGGCCTTAGGGTGTGTAATCACCATGGCTTAGGGAGGGGGTACGCAAGACACATGTTCTCACCTTACCCTTGCAAACGTGTCATGCAAAAAAAGCTTTCAAAATGCACGAGCAAAGCACCAATATATATATATATATATGAACATTCAAACACAACTTTCCCACGCAGGTGCTTCCATTTTCTTGATGCCCGACTTTGAACGGTTTGCTTCTAGAGCAGCCTCAGGAAGCCTGCCCGACCAGATTACTAGCGCTCTGTATTTGCAGTTTTTCTTTGTGCTCTAAAATGTTTATCAACATGCTACCCTCTCGTAGCTCGATTGGCTGCAAACGTTGTGGGAGCTCCTACATATA